CCACGCGAACCCCCCCCCCCCCCACCCTAACAACCGTGCCAGTGACAAAGCAACAAAGGCGGAACTTGTAAATATAATATGCTCTGGGATGATTTAAAGCAGCTGGACTCTCATTTTCATTTGAACTGTGCAGTGACGAAAGATTCGGCTCATTACCCTTCGACAGTACAACGCAAGCCAACGATGAGCCATGACTAAGGCGTGAGCGCCAGTGAGTGTGCGGTCCCTGCTGGGTGATACAAACGAGTCCACCCACCCACCTTTGCATTTGTTTGTCGTCTTGTCCAGGATGGCCTTTGTTGATACAATTTTGCCATACCTGAGGGACAAGCAGAAAGACAAGGTGTGCACCGTATGCATTAGAAGAGGGAAAAAGAGAGAGCGCGAAAGAGAGAGAGCCAGTTGTACAGCATGCAACAAGGGAGGGTTCAGCAACGGTGACATCATGGCAGTGGCATGAGACATTGGAAGAGGCTGCAATGCAGGCGTCACCGTCCCCAGAATGAGGACGGAAAATAGGCGACCCCTGGATGAATGCAGAATACACAAACGATACTATTGCCCAAAAAAAAAAATAAAAAATACTGATACGTCATTCAGAGCAGTGGAATCGTAGATGGCAAAAGGCGGAACTTCACATTCTTTTGTGTTTTTTTATTCATTCAGAATGATTAGCCGATGGAAGATCTTCAACGTATTCGTCTAGCTCAGTGGTTCTCAACCTGGGTTCGATCGAACACCAGGGGTTCGGTGAATCGGTCTCAGGGGTTCGACGGAGCCTCTGCCATGGAGGATAATTGACGACTCGACATGTCAATTAGTTATGACACGCCCGCTTGGCCATCACTGGCTGCCGATGATCACACGACATTGCTTGTCCAATCAGTGCTGCGGGAAATTTAGTTCGCTTAGTAGTCAACACGTGAGTGTCGTGATAGTACGTTTAAAAAAAAAAAAAAAAGTATACTTATCTCTTTTGAAATCTTATTAAAAATGTTTGTTTTTAATCAATGCGTTTTTTTTAATATCTTGAATTTGTAAAAAAAATATTTTTCATATTTTTCACTCATGAAGCATTCGATGAATGTGCATATTATTTTTTATATTATTATTATTTATTATTATATAATTTATATATATTATTAATATATATTATATTATTACAAATTGGGAATTTCTCCATTGCGAGACTAATAAAGGTTTTCTTATCTTATTAACTGGTTGGGTTCGGTAGCTCTAAAAAGGTTTAGAACCACTGGTCTACCTCAATTAAAATAATACTCATAGATGGATGGACATTGCGCGGCATTTCAGCTATTAAACCAAAATAAAAGGATTCCCGCATGAGTAACGGGTATCCCAAAAACGAAATCAATCGGAATTGTCGTGCAATGTAAATCCAGTCTGAACGGTCGGCAACCAGCAGTGTCGTCGCCACCATCTCAAGCGATCGCTCATCATAAGCGTAACTTGTCAAACTACATAAAGGAAGGACAGGAATGTCCACGCATCCATTTTTCTCCGGCGCTTATCCAGCCCAGCCCGGGCACCTCGCCTCAAACTATTCTAGCAGGGGGGCAGACTAGACCCTGGACTGATGACCAGTGACGGTGTGTGAAGGGGGTCATTGACCAGCGCCTGAGCCCGGCCGGGCCAGATGCCAAATCCTGCCGTCCTCCACGAGCGCAGACTGATTATCTTTGTGTTGAATCAAAGTAAGACATTTGCAAACATCTACTTGTACTTTGGAACAAATATGCTCAAGATTTTGTCTTATTTTCTCACATTGGGACCAAACAAATAATTGAATCATAATCAATTTGTTAGCGTCTTTTCTACACTGAAAAATTGAAATAATGGATTGCATTTGAATATATATGTATATCTTTTCAATCCAATTCATCACATTTACGTTAAATATAACTGAACTGTTCTTTAAAATGTTGGTGAAGAATTAATTTTCTGGTGGGGGGCCCGATGGGCGACCGGTTAGCACGTCCATGTCACCGTGCAGTAGTCCGGCGTTTCCTTCTGGCTCGGGCCTTCCTATTTCGAGCTTGCATGTTCTCCCAATGCATGTGTGGGTTTTCTCCGGGTACTCCGGTTTCCTCCCACATTCCAAAAAACATGCACGGCAGGTTAACAGGTGAACTTAATTGTCCCGAGGCACGAGCGTGACTGCAAATGCTTGTTCGTCTGTGTGCCCTGCGATTGGCTGTCAACCAACTCAGGGTGTACCGCGCCCACTGCCCGAAGACAGCTGGGATGGGCTCCAAGCACGCCCGCGGCACTTGTGAGGATAAAACGGATCGGGGGGGAAAATGGACGGATGAATGAATTTTCTGGTCTCTCATCATCAAACCAGTCCGCGGAGCCTAAAGCGGTTGTATGTCAGCGTACGACTGCTCCCGCAATTTGGAACAAGGCAATCGATAGCAGACCAATAGTAGATAACAACGAGAGGAAGTGCGCTACTCACGGCTGACAGAGTTTGACCAGGTCATGGTCTGTTGTTGATGGGGACAAGCCTCGGATGTAGAGGTTGGTTTTGCTGAGTTGCTCCCAGCCTGCAGTGCTACCGCTGCTGCTGTTGTTGGTGCTGCTGTTGTTACTTGGGCTGGGTGGAGCCATGGGATGAGACAGGAGGCTAACGGGTGACTGGAGGTGGGAAACAAGGGTCCGATTAAAGGTCACGCGGGGATCTTAAATCACCGAGAGGCAACACGTGAATGAGGAATCTTTTTTTTTTTTGCTGTAAAAATGGCTACTGCGGAAAAAAAACTGTCAATGGCAAGTTAGATCGGGGTGTCATTTTTTTTTCTCCACGGTAAATTTCTACAATGTGGCTGGCTAAAAGATACATATCAAAACAGTGTCTTTAATTTCACTTTGCAGACAAATTAAAAATAATCACGCAAGTGTGCTTCATACGAGTCCCGTCAATGAATAAAAAGAGCCTCTAAAATAGCCCACACTCGTTCCTTTATCCTTGCCCGTTTCCTTTCTTCGTATTATAGCGGCCAGGGCAGGGCAATCCACTTCCTCCTTGACAATCTCGCCATTTTGTTTGTGGTTCCAAAAAAAAATAAAATAAAATAATTGAATGAAATACCATCGTAAATCCGGAGCCTTATCATGCCGCTCTGCGTACAGCGGACTTAACATTTTATTTTTTTGATTTACCTGTGCTCATGAATGCGAATCAAGTGCACGTGAAATAAAAACTTGTCAGTGTTATACTTGTTGCAGCCGGTATGAGGGGAAAAACACAAATTCCAGAGTGACTTGTCCTGGTCTGACGAGAGCTTTCCCCTTCAGGGATTTGTAAGCGATTATCCCCCACAACCCCGTTCTCTTTGGCGAATCTCAAGCTGAGAGGAAGCTAATGGAATCTGAAGCATGAAACCCTGACATGACTGAGCAACCCGAGCCGAGAGGAGCTTCTCTCGTCTTCATATTGTCGTCACTGTGAAATCAAGTTTGGCTTTTTGCCGCATCTGACTGTTGGTCACAGTCCTCATTGTCCCTCATTTTAACCTCCCATCCATTCACTGCCCTCCTCAAAGTCGATTTATGAGGAATTGATTGAAGGACTCGACGGAGCGGGCCAAAAATTAGTTCACGAAAGGATTTCCTGTGAGGGATGAGATTTTTTTTTTTTAAATGAAGACGCAGAGGTGAAACGGTGAGCAATAATGTTAGTCCCGTTGTTAGATGAATACAAAAGGTGACAGTAGCAGTCGCCGCCGAATAAAAAAGACAAAAAGCCGTCAGTGTGACCTGTTTTCAATGGCAGTCTCATGACTGGCCCCCCTTTTATTCACAGCGTGACTGTGGTTAATTTCACAATTTTGCAAAGATATTTTGAGAAAACATAAGTCACACATTGGTTCAATCGAGCCCAAAAAAAAATACAGGACAAAAGTCCACATTCTCAAAACGACGGGAAAATTGGCAGCACACCTGTGCGGATTGTTGCCCCAAAAACTTTGGGTTTATTCACACCAGAAATTTGGTCCAGAACAAAAGCGGACCTAATTTTTTTTTTGTTTTGTTTGTTTGGTGCGGTTTGTATTCACACTAACAAAAAGCGAAAGCTCACGTATGATCAACATTCACTATGGGCTAACATTTCCCACAATGCCAGGCTACGGTAGCTGGAGAAGCTACCGTAGCCTTTATTTGGTGCGGATCGAGAGTGGATTGATGGACTGTCAGAGAAACTCTGAAGTTTTGTCTCGTCTAAAAATCAGTTCACCTCTATTCCAGTTTCCCAACCTTAATGGAGCCCGGGCAAAAAAATCTCACAGCGCGGAGGCCAACGTCACAAAGTGTGTGAATACTGAAATAACAACGACCTTCTCTCAATTTACTCAGAAATTCAATTCGTCAGTGTAAAAAAGCTGGGCCTGTTTCATTGATCACAAGGCTGATATTAGCAACATGAATTTGGACTTTTTTTTTTTTTGTTCGCCCAAAAATGTCCAAATGCTGTCTGGCTGGAATGGCCCCTTCAACCTGAGTACAACGCACCAACGATTTTGCGGTTGGGGATAATGCACGGATGATCTCCCCAAACCTTTCCTTCTAACACAGGGAAGCTGTTCTCTGATTGGCTAACAAGTTTCAATCATAAAGAGCCACCAAAAATCTCACACGGGCCAAAATTCAGACTTCAAAATGGCGTCACTGATATGAAATATTGGGACTTACAATAGCGCAAATGGATCATCATTCCTGCAATGTGAAGTAGAACGGGTCATGTACGCTAATCATCTTTTTTTTCTGAATTTATTTGTGATGGAGAAATTTGGAGGCGTTTGAAGCTCTCGTTTCATGGCAACATAACAAACAAACAAGTTCATTGGACCTTCCCCCATCGAATGGAAAGCAATTGATTGTTCTGCCTGCCACCATATGTTATAACACTGAATAAATATTTTGACACCTAGCGTTAATTCCCATAACTTGTTTTACAGTATGTTTCTCTTTACATCCCATGTTGGGGATGGGCCATTTTTTTTAAACAAGTGTTGCCAAAAAAAAAAAAAAAAAAACTAGAGGAAGCCCAAAACATGTCGAGTTAATTGCTTGAACTAGTTACTCCGACAACTAGCATAATGTTCATTTGCGTGACATGATAATATTTTTGGAATTGCTGCAAAAAAAAAAAAAAGAAAATTTAAAATGCCCATTACCGGGAGGGGGGAAAAAAAACACATTCGGAATGAATCATTTGTTTGCTGAGGATGTGGTCTTACAAGAATGCAGCAGTACGATGTGGCTCACATGATGGTTCCAACTCATTGATTTATTTTTTTTTTTCTCCTTTCACAAATTATGGTTGAGTACAACTTTGGATACACAAACATTGAACTGATCTATAACTAAGGAAAATGGAGTACTAATGAGTTGTTTTATGAAAGCTGCATAAGAAAATAACGTACCAAACCCTATGGAGTTTGTCGTTAAGTTGCGCAGTCCTTGCGGCATATGTTTGCCACCTTTATGTGGATTGGTAGGGGAAAACACATTGATTACCAGTAAAGGCAGTGAAGTTGATCGCATGTGTTTCTACATATGTAACTACAGTATGCTATAAAATAGCCAGAGTTGACTTCCAGTTAAGTGCGAGACTGACACTTCCTTTCCCCGAGAGAGCCGGGGTCAGTTTTTGGTTTCATTCACCGATCAATTCATTCGGATACAGGACTGCGAGAAGGAGAATGGGGAGCGGACGACATCTTATCAGTCAGCAACAGACCAGCTGAGCCTGTCGTACTGTATAATGCGCAGGGCTTCCAGTAACAGGCCTCGCCCATTCAGCTCCTGCCACAGGATAACAGCGTGAACATGAGCAAATGGGGCTTATTTTCACAAACCTTTTTGGCTAAGCGAGATTCCGAGAGAAATCAATATATGTAACTGGGACAAACTGAATGCACCAACGCTTAACTCATCACCTTTCAAGGACAATGCTGTGAAATCCAATCCAAACGGGGGAGCGTGCCATTTATTCTGAAGTGCTGCTGGAAAACTTTTGATTTTCCTCTCGCATTGAACTGATCTATAATTAAGGAAAATGGAGTACTACTGAGTTATTCTATGAAAGCTGCAGAAGAAAATAACGTACCAAACCCTATGGAGTTTGTCGTTAAGTTGCGCAGTCCTTGCGGCATATGTTTGCCACCTTTATGTGGATTGGTAGGGGAAAACACATTGATTACCAGTAAAGGCAGTGAAGTTGATCGCATGTGTTTCTACATATGTAACTACAGTATGCTATAGAATAGCCAGAGTTGACTTCCAGTTAAGTGCGAGACTGACACTTCCTTTCCCCGAGAGAGCCGGGGTCAGTTTTTGGTTTCATTCACCGATCAATTCATTCGGATACAGGACTGCGAGAAGGAGAATGGGGAGCGGACGACATCTTATCAGTCAGCAACAGACCAGCTGAGCCTGTCGTACTGTATAATGCGCAGGGCTTCCAGTAACAGGCCTCGCCCATTCAGCTCCTGCCACAGGATAACAGCGTGAACATGAGCAAATGGGGCTTATTTTCACAAACCTTTTTGGCTAAGCGAGATTCCGAGAGAAATCAATATATGTAACTGGGACAAACTGAATGCACCAACGCTTAACTCATCACCTTTCAAGGACAATGCTGTGAAATCCAATCCAAACGGGGGAGCGTGCCATTTATTCTGAAGTGCTGCTGGAAAACTTTTGATTTTCCTCTCGTGCCATTTGGGGTTGCTTCGGAGAAACATAAGTCAAGTCCAAGGCTCGTTTGTTTCGCTCCGTGATGCACGCAGCCGGTATTCACCTTATTCTCGAGAGACCTGTGAATCACACAGGCGCCTTAAACACCGCGCTCTTTTCTTTTTTTTTCCCCTCCACCTAGCATAATAGTCCTCATTCTTCCGAATCCCAACCTTCCCTTTTCACATAGCAAATGAATGCTTCACAAGACCCTGAACGCAACACTCCAGCTTCGCACGAAATAAACATCGACTTTAGGGGCGCGAGTTGACGTCCAACTCGGTTTCGTCATTATTACAGCGGTAATGAGACGTGCGGAAGTCAGTTGTAAAGGGAGAATAGAGCGGATCGAAAACGTATTAGTTACCTGTTTGCGAAACTGAGTCCTTAGTGGGTTTCCAGTATTAGAAAAAATCATCCTCGGTCTGCTGAAGGGGGGAGAGTTGGCTTTTACTTGAATAACTAAGTCCCTCGACTGAAAGTAGGAAACCGGCTGGCATATGTCGGCCGCTCACTCGGCTGACGACGCGCATAAAAATGGAATTGTGAGCATATCTGTGGTCACGCAGCCTCGATATCGTCGACTCTCCGGCAACAGACGGCCCTGTCCCAACTTCGACCGCGGCCCTGCTTCGTCTGTTTGACGGGCTTCATGACTCGCAGTCAGTGGGAAGCAAGAGTGAGGCTGAAATGTTGGACCAAACTATTTCGCCGGCCGCGTAGGGGTGCTCGAATCCCAATTTTCATAAAAAAAACAAAGATTATCGCTACGTTCCGCTGTTTGCAGGCGTGTTTGACCAATTCAAACAGAAACCTCATTATGAGGTGACGAATAACGTCTCGTATAGAGTAAAATGTAATGACTTGTTTTGCTAAAAATACGCCTTTGAGCCCGCTATCCCCCTATGTTGTCGTTTGGAGTGTTACATGATGCATACTTAACATTCCACGGTGTGGCTTGTCCTCATGGTTCTGTTTGCCTTTGCATGAAACGTACTTTTTCAACAAAAGGGGAAATATGGACATTTACCACTCGTGACGATTTGAATTACCTACTGCTCGAGGTATTCTAATTTGGTCACACATAGAGCTGATGACGGACCATTACGACGCTGGTAGTCACGGCGAATGACAACAAGCGGTGACGTCGCCCTTGACCGTATATTTGAATGAGATAGGATGAAAATGCAAACGTCACAATCGTCGACGTCACAAAATCATCGCGGAAATATGAAACGTTGCTCACATGCTCTTATCCGTGTCAGCATTGTTGTTTGTTTGCGTTACTCAAGAGTAAACCATTTCTAATATCTTCTCATCGATGTTACAAATTTTCTAACCCATGACACGTTTTGTAGCATGAACACTACATTACATTTTTAATAAAAAATGTCCCTGATCTTAAAATGACCCTATCTTTATCCTGAATTTAAATCCCCAAGTGACATTATTTGAAATGGCATTAATCATGTACTGTACTTATTTTTACTTAAACAAAAGTAGCACTACTTTATCATATAAGATGAGAATGTAAATAAATAAAATTTTGTAAAGTGTAATAACTCCCTGACTGGAGTAGTCGTGTAACTCTGAAACAAATCTCAAATTGGGGAACTCGTATGTTCAGGTACCGTTCTATAGGTGTGATTTACGATGGGTCATTCCTAAATGAATCTGAAGGTCACCAGTAGAGCAAATAAACATGTTTACCAGGCCAACAGAAGTGACTGGGGTCAGCATGGGAAAAAAGAGGGAAAGGTCCGAGTCGGCACTCTATGCTCTGTGTAGGTGGGCAGGGAAGAGGCAATTGAATCCGTTGGAGAATATTTTGTTGGAGGCCTTAATTTGACTTTGGACAGGTGACTCGTATTGCAATTTACAAAACCAATACAACACCTTAATCAAGTGTAACAACAAAGATAACTACAAGTGAACAGACGTATTATGTATGTATTTATGGATTTTTTTTCAGTACACCGTCCTACAAAGACTAATTGTCACATATTTGTATGCCAATTGTGTGATAATATATCGGGGAATTTCCGAAATGAACACTCCGAAGGTGGAACAGGAGTTTAATCAAAATATTTGGTGAAATCCTTCTCAAAAAACAAAGTTTGAAGTTCAAACTATCATGCATAACATGTGAGATATCGAGTGTGATATTCCGTCAGTCAGCATCTGAAGGATTCACTCAACCAATTTAGCTTTTTCTCCTTTAAGGCCACCACCGAAGGGTACAAGTGATGACAGAGAAGATAAATATGAAAACTGGAGAGGCAGGATTGGAATTAAAAGTACGATACCATCACAAATACATTTTACCAGGCAGAAGTTGAACATGTGGTTTGTTAAGTAATTATGAGTCATGATCTCTGTCCAAAGGCAACTCCATTAACCTTTTTCAAAGCACATACTGTAGTTTAAATGTATTCCACTTTTTTTGTTTGATTATACAGTGGTTAACGTCTCTTAGTTCTTGTATCTCAATTTAGGATTGACAAGCTATCAAGTGTTGTCTGTGCTATTCATAAATATTTGATGGTTTGAATTTATCATTATTATGAACATGAATTATTTTGACATGATTTCATTTGAGGAAAAATTGGAATCGTTTGGTTCAACTTGTGCAACGGAAGTGAGTGCGTTCAGTTCCGGAGTTCCACTGTCATAGGAAAAAGGAAAACGAACTGATTCACTGCAACAAAAGCATCATCACTGTCTTAGCTGTCATAGATTGTCACTGACATAATTTGAGATTCATTTTTATTTATTTATTTTTTTACTCGGGCAAAAAATATCGGATTATAAGTAGATGCGCATCACGCTTATTAACAACTCAGTAAGTACTCACCTGAATTGGCGGCATCGTGTGAAAATTGCCTCTTCTGCTCCTTTAGTGTGGGCCGCAACGCTGCCTCCCGGTTGGGAAAAAAAACCAAACCTGTGAGTCAAAGTATCGCAGCTTTTCTTCACACTTAAACTAGCATGCAGCTGGGCTCGTTCCAAAGCTCTCACGAATGCTTTTGACTCGATCCGACCACCTCAATAGCACACCATTCAATGAGCAAGCATCAGGTCACATTCTGTGCGATATCGCGATTTCGAGGCCGTATCGCACCGCTCTTTTCGAGGCTCCCCTTCATTATAAAGAAAGATTGTTGGAAATGCTGATATTGCGACATGGATCACGTTCATCGAATCATAAACCCATTTTCACTCTGATGCTCGCTGGGGATTTCCAAGGGAAATCAGAGAGTGTGTTTTTCTTTTTTTTTTTCTTTTTCTTTTTTTTTCAGGACTTTCTGCATCTCACGCCATTCCTGATCTTGTGCTTTACAAACAAAAACCCACAGTCATGTTTCAACCAAGTTCGTGTGTCGACTTTGTCTTCAACTGATAGGACTCAACTCGTCTTTTCCAGGCTTCTCGTACAGGAGCCAAAAAATTAGCAAAGTTGGTTTTGTTTTCAGAGTAAGCACACCCCCGTCTTTGGACTTGATGGCTTGATTCTTCTGATCGATATTTTTGAATCAACATCATGTGTGTATGTTTGGATCTTGTCATTGTCACTTTTCTTCATGCCATTTTGCCATTTCTACTTGTCAACCTTTTATAAACCAAATGTTTGGTTTTTTTCCGTTGTTTGTTTTCGGAACCATTCAGAAGTCATTTGGCACGTCAGGCTCAGCTTTACCCAACGTTGTAAATCAAAGAACTGGACATGAACTGTACTGAAAGGAACACAATTTGCTTGACCAGTTTGCAAAGACGACGACAAACTGACACATTTAAGACTCATCGTTGCGTGTTGGCATTGACTGCTCAGTGCTTGTTGAAGAGAATCGGCGTGGGAGAAGATCACGTTACTCATACAAACTCGGAGCACACAGTTCAACAGAATTCCCAACATGACATGAGATTTCCAGGAATAATTTGTTGAGGTAAATTTGGGGGAAAAAAAAACAAACAAGCTTGCGTGGCTGAAGATGAAATCACGGCGCGTCAAAGAAATACTGTACAAAATCAAACGGGCGATTTTGATTGCAAATGCAAGAAGAGATTTGATGGCGCTCGTTGTTCTGCGGCATTTCACCTCCTTTTTCCGAATCCTGTCCACTGAATGAGAGGAAATACTTGACGGGCCGCAGGAAAAGGTTTCACTTTGGAGCTCTGCCCTCAGCGCATTCATGTCAAATGTGCCAAGAATGAGAGTCCTTGTGCTCTTTCGGGCCTCACGTTGACATAACGAGCAGCGCCAACGCGCCGTTTCATTGTGGAAACGCTGCTGCGGGGCAAATCTTCAAACTTGATTGTCAACAGTAAACAGCCACGCGATGGAGCGCCACGGCACAGTGCGCACGTACTTCAAATTCGGTGTGGTCCGAAATGCATTGAAAGGGTTATTTGATCAAGTGCCTCAACATTTCCTGTGAGAAAAGACTTTGTAAGGGCTGAATTTAGTCAGCTGCACCACCCCCACTGAGGACCTTTTTTTTTTTTAAATGTTGAGCACAATCCGCTCCGGGATGTTGGTCATCCTCCAATTTGTTTCCCATGATAAATAATGGAAATGTAATTAATCCTCATCAAAAGCACACATTTATCCTGCAGATAACATTTGAAGTCACATTTCAACAATCTTCCCCAGGGAAGGGATTTCATAAGAATTTAGCGATTCCGATTCCACTGTCGATACCGCTTGTTGATCTGATTCGTATCGATCCTCTTATCGATTTTTATAAGGTGAGGGAATAAAATAACACAAATGGGCTTGTTTGCTTTCACTCTTTCATATCTACAACTTATCCGCAGTGTATCTTAAGGGAAGAAAAAAATGGGGAAGAATTCTCAAAGTAGATCAAGAGACCAAAAAACTTTTTTTTGAGAGAGAGAGAGAGAGAGGGAGAGAGAGAGAAAATCAATATTTTGTGCTCCCTCTTCAGAGTTCCAGTTAAGAGGGGAGCAGCAGCATTTTGGACCAACTGGAGAGGCTTGAGGGAGCATTCAAACTTTTGGCAAATGGTCGCAAAGACGTTTGCCGGACATTTGCGACCTTAAACGAACCGCGACGAAAAGTCAACATTCGGGGCATGGGCAAACGCTCGCGTATCCTTCGCCGCTTAGTGAGAAACGGGCAGTTGCAGTTGAAGTGCTGGTTCTCCCCCAAAGAGGAGGAATCAATAAGCAGAATCATCAGGCGAGCACACACTTTCCAGGAAAACAAATTACTGCGAAGCGGCTCTCAAAAAGAATCGTTCGAGAGCCATTTGGTCCTCTTTTTTCAAATGAGTCTCTAAAACGGCTAAACAAAAAGCCGGATGTGCGTCGTTAAAGCCTTGATGCTGGCTGAGTTCGATACGGTGATATATTGCGCAACGCCTTGCACGGTGTGACTTGGACCTCAATGTTTTGGTGTGGGACATTTTTTTTTTTCCAGCAGTTTTGGATGGTTGACAGATTTATGAGTTGGGATTTTGACGTTCCACCCTTTCTTCCTGAAAGAGCATTTACAATAATTAGACCTTTTTAATTAGAGTGCCGCCGTGATGAATGATCGTGTTTCCAATGAGACAAACATGTCAGAGTTGGACACCAATGCAGGAAAATAATGATCACCACTTGTATCGGTGTGCACCGGCGCTCTATTTACTGTACAAACAACTTTTGATGAATTGCTATAGATGCCCAACAGAACTCCAAAGTAGAAATGAAACGGTCACATTAAAGTTTGTGAGTGGCTGCAAGACTGTGTGGCTTGTTTCATATTTGCGATGGAAAATGTCCATCCTGTCATGATATTGCCCAAAATCTGATTAATGAAGCAGACCACAAGTCTCTTGTGTAACTCAAGATTGCTGTAGGCCCTTTAGCGTACTTTCCTCATATCCTCAAATGCCCTTTCACTTCTTGACATTTTTTTTTCAAATTCTAAGTCGAGCTGAAATAAATGTCCTCTTTCTCTCTCGATACTGTAATCAAATTATTCACAGAAGGAAGAGAAACAAATAAATTCGTCTCGCGCTGCTGCAGCACAGATTTTTGAGATGAAATACAGCACAATCTATCACTTAGGAAGGTGTCATTCAGTCCCGAATGAGCTCCGTCTCGTTTTTGTTTACCTCTCAAAAAAAAAAAAAAAAGGCATTTGAACAGGGGGTGTGGACTATTTATATCCCCTGTATGAGTGAAACTAGGTGACCAAGTCCCCCTCCGTGTGAACTAAGTCAACTCTCATTGAGATTTTGTCTGCTTGTGAACAGAATTTCGGAGACAAAGAAGCCATCGGCCTCTTTTATGCTGAGCAAAATTGCTCCATCGTGGCCCAAAATCAAACGCCCGCCTTCATGTTCCTTTTCATCGAATATCAAGCGGGATATTGCTTGCACGCAGGCAGCTCCGAGCCTTCCTCCGTACCTGGAAAACCGCTGGCGGGATGGGAATGTGATGCCAAGTCAAGAGCTGTTGAGCGCTGCACAATAGCCTCATCCTGCAAGCGGCAGCGCCCGACGGATTTGTGTGACAAACCGTCGACGAGTCTGAGCGCCTCTTTGCACACAACGTGTCGGCCTACAGTCTTTAAATAGCAGGAAGCCCCCGAGGCCAGAGTCTCCACTGAGATAATGCCGCCTTCTGCTTTACCTTTTTCGTGGAAGTCTGCTCTGCATGGCCCGTTGCGCCGCTGTTGAGGACATCCTGTTTGCTTGCATTCCTGGAAGTGCAGAAAAGGCATTGCAACACCGTCAACGCTAGTTTTGCTATTGTTTGGCACAATTGTTGTATTGTTGAGAATCATTTCCTTTTTTTTTTTTCCTGTCCATATTGTGCTTCAATGAGCTGCCGCTAAATTCTTTCTCAAACTGTTAATCTGGTCCTCTGAAATTTGATATGCGTTCGGGCTCGCATTCTTCCCACTTCCCCCACAACATGCCGGAGTGCCGAGTGCTTAGCTTTGCCCTCCGTCTGATCTCAAATTTCTGCAGACCTACACCACACTGTTTGTTTTCCTTGGAGGAAGCATCATTGAAGCACATGCTGTCACAAGATTTATTGCCCGGGTCCAGTCAGACCTTTATCTTCCCAGTGGCCGGGTTTAACGCAGCTTCCTCAGATGATCTCTGTACGTCGTCTGCAAACAATGCAGTGGGGCCTAAATTTAATATTCACGGTTTCAATATTGATAAGACGAATCAGCATTATCATTTTGGCTATAATCGTACAGTCCTGTGGGTATTATCTGTCTAGATGTGTTGCTACACCATTAATAAAACACTATAGTATTCGGTAGCCCGTCTGGCATTTGCCATTATGTGTTAGCAGTAAGCTAACCGTGAACTTCAAGGCAAAACTATGTAGTTTATTTAAATACCCAAGATGTAACACTGTGTTTGATGTTTACTTTGACAGTAAACTTCATCGAGGAGTGGGAATAAACAGCTTGAAGCCTTAAAAAAAAGTCACTATATGCCAGGCTGCGTTGAGGGTCTGCCAAATGGTCATCTGTCAAATTTGGGGTCACAAGTCAAAGCATTAAAAAAAAGTACTCCAAATGACAGCTTGTGTTTTGAAAAACCTGTATGTCGAGTCGCTCGATCCTTAAGGCGCCACCACAGTCAACTTGATAATTGTTAAAGCTGGTTAAAACATTGCCACATGTCCTCTAAACAAAGGCCTTCCTTTGATGCCTGCTTAGGTCTTCCCAGAGGTTAGCTGCATGATGCTGCAAATGGACACCACAACTCCCTGGAGACCAATTCTTGTGAAATGTTGTTGGCCTCTCTGCAGTGCTGACGCTTTTTGGCCGCCAGGTCAGTGCACAGGAAAGAGACGCAACATGGAAGATGTACATTTATCCGTGCTTCTTTAAATGAAAAATGAAATTTAAAATGGCACCGTCGAGTGCAAAAACAATCCAAAAATCTCCTTGCTGCCATCTGCTGGTCATTTTGAGTGCCTCCACTACAATCGTAATACTTCATGTAAAATTAAATTATAAGAATAGGAATTAGCTAAATAAATTAATATCCCATGGACTCTTTCTTCATTAAAAATAGGTTTGTTAAGTTTTAAGTGATGGAGACAAATGGCCCCACTAAGTGACATTATGAAATTCCATTAGTAAACATTTACTGTAGAGTGCAAATATCAACTAGGAAATGGGTGTACCTCACCAGTGACATTTGCTGTTCTACTAGGATGGCAAAGTTGCACAAGTAGTGTGCAGAAATGTCGCTCCGTAGTCAAAGACTAGTATTGGAAAAAACATAACCAGAAATTTGCTCTACGAGTGGGCTGAATTATCCTATTACGAAGGGATTGGCGGCTTTCTAAAGACATGCTAACCGCAAAGACCACCATGCCACCTCACTGTACTACAGCTTTACTAAACTAATTTGAATCACAAACCTCCTCTGCATGTCTTTTCCTGTAAAATGTTGCGTACAGCTGTATTTAACGTTTGTGTACACATTTGTCTGAAATAATGAGGAACGTTTGCTTTTAAACATTTCAGTACATTAAAAAAAAGTTGTATAAAAATATTTTCATGTCACTATTCTAGCGCAGTGTTAATTTTCAAACTGTGCGTAAAGTTACAGTTTCTTACAATGACATTTTATGATTAACATCGCAGCATTTTTTATTTTAATCAAGAGTTGGGTACTTGTCTTTGGAGAGAGCTCGGTGGTTTGAGGTGGTACTTTGTGTAAAAACAACAAAAGTTTGAGTAGCACTGACAAGTTAAGATACAGTATATCATTTCTGGCTGCAAATCGTGATCCAAACATCCCACAGGAATCCAATACGTGTTTCATCTACCGCCTACATTTGCCACCGACGCTGTTTTGTAGAAAATTAATCGTAAAGTCTTTCTTGCCAAAATAGTTTGTGCGTCGAGCGACTTCCAAAACAAACCCCAACAAGAAGCAGAAGAACAAGGTGAGCTTTGCCGAGCTGTTCTGCCGTTGTCGGGTGAGGGTGGGGGGGAGCGGTTTCACGCAGCAGACGTGTGGGCGGGACCAAACTCCAAGAGCGGGCTGCCGCGCCGCCACACCGCGCGCCCATTGGTCGATAACAACCAAAGGCGGAAGTGCGCGGAGCAGTGGGGATTCCCCGAGGGAAGTTCCCAACTCCGCTAAGTAGGCTATGTAAAAACACACACTTCGCCATCTCTTCAGCCCCACTTCCTAACTCTGTGCGCGCGCGCGTGTCGCTTATGTGCGTGCGTCTGCGTGTGTGAAGAAGATCATGTTGTCCACACATTAAATTTCGCCTTTAATCCCCAATGAAGGTAAGCGAACGCTGAGTGGCAATCGTGTTGTGACGTAGGACGCACGTAAATCGATCGTCGGTTAGCTTGAATTGCTGAATACGGTTTCCACATCTGACGGTCTACTTCTTACGATTCGCCCGTGTTGTGAATTTGACTGGAAAGTAACTGTTGATTGGCGAGGGGCTTGCAAAAGTTCACCAAACTAGACTTCCCGTGCCACTACTGTGGCACATGGAAATGTAAATATACAAGTTTGATCCAGGAACTTTTTGGAAAGCAAAAACACGAAGGGGCACAATAAATAGTTATTACTCAGCCTCAGTCTTATTTTACTCGTCTTGAAGTTTGAAGCTGGCTTGTTTTATTGCTCGAGTTGCCATCGGATCTTGAAATGAGAGTACAATTAGAGGAAGTCTACTTGCAGGAATTACTTTGCCAAGGTCATCATATTTACAGCTTTTCAGAGTGTCGTTTCATCATCAAGGCATTTCCTAAAATGTAAATAACTTAACTGGGTTGCTGGAGTTACTTAAAAGTATAAAAAGTTATCATAAAGTATTTGAAAGTCCGGCAGTGTGTTTCACGGCAGTCTCTGGCTAATTTGTCTGCTTGTTCAATGGGGAAATTACCAAACAGAGGCATAAAAGTGTTAACAAAATATGATGTCTTTTTCATTCTTGACATGGGCTTCTTCAAGCAGAATTGTGTTTATCCCCACCGAATACTACATACTTGATGTGATAATTTTTTTTGATGTCTAATCTATGACAGTTCAGGGTGCGCGCGGCGCGCGCGCGCGCACACACACACACACACACACACACACATACACTTGACAATGACTTGCATTGACAGGTCCCATGTCTGCTCTGTCAGTGATGATTGCGGCGCACACGGCATGGAGAGGAACATTGGAGACCAGCTCAACAAAGCTTTCGAGGCTTATCGCCAGGTCTCAATTGAAAAGGACCATGCCCAAAAGGAGCTGCAGCAAATGGTAAAGGCCGCCAATCACTTCCACTAGCAACACGGCACAAAAATTTATTTAATAACCACCTTGCAGTGCCAGTCGGACCAGGAGAGATAGTGAACCACTGTTTTTAGGTTGCCACAGTCACAGGCCACAACGCAAAGCACTCGTGTGTAATTAGATGAAAATAGAAGTGTCGTAGATTGATGTTGTCAGAGGTCCTAATTTATTGTTGCTTGTGGTTGCCCGGGTTAAAAAAAAAAATGTCAGGTGACATGTCAGAAAATGTTGTGAGTTCCCCAAGTACCGTTGAACCTGAAATTGAACAAGACAGGAAATGAATAAATCGGTTACGGTACATACACAGGTTCAAGGAGCACCTCATCTCAAAATGGCTTCCCGTGTTGTCTGCGGACGCTTTGAATGTTTCCTCTCCATTAAGTGTTGGTCAGGTGTCTTCGGAAGGGCTAAAGTTTTACACATGATTTTTTTCAGACTGTTAAAATGTCTTTGACTGTCATGTTAAGATGCAACGCATTGAGATAAGAACAACTTTGAGGTCAACCAACATCATGGAACAGTTCCCGCTGCATTGGATTGCGTAGGTGTGCCTAATGAAGTGGCCGATGAGTGTAGCGTCGCACAATGCATCTCTTTAAAAAAAAAAACAGTAGTACTAAAAAAAAATATGCCTGATCACTGCTATGTTGACATCGAAATGTGACGGCTAAGGCTTGGGACCAGTCAGTCCGACCACAAATGTATTATTTTTGAACAGACTGAATATTATCAGCAATACACTCAAGAACTGCAAAGGCAGATCGAAGACCAGCAGCAGCTGATTGGCCAACTGAAAGCTCAGCTGTCTGCAACAAGGCAACCATCAGGTGAGGGATGCGACCCGAATCCTCTACTCTTGCACGTCTTTCTGGGACTTGGCGATGGACTCTTTTGAATGACATGCAGCCACCTTTCTACTGCTTTGCCACCTGCCTGCCGCACATTGACACTCTTTTGGATTCTAAGGGGAGACCAAATGCGAGTCGTGCAACCATCTCGTGGACGGGGCCACCGCACATGGGAAAACACAGCATCAGGTATTCGTGCTCGCTCTCTTTTTTTGTTTTTTGGGGGAGAGGTTGGGGGTTTTAAATAAACTAAGCACCTTTTCCCCGTTGTTGTATTTGTGTGGAAGCATACCCAAACTGTCTGCTGCAGCCAATTACGGCTGACTTTGGGTGAATGTGGACTGGTCCTGAGCCAGTCACGGGGCTCATGTAGACAAACGCTCGTTCGCACTAGATGACAATTTGCAGTCTTCGATGAACCTTAAAATGCATGTTTTTGGAATGATCGGAATGTGGGAGGAAGCTGAAGAAAACCCGCGCAAGCACGAGGCGAATGTGCAAACTGGAAGGGACAGAGGCGAGATTCAAACACTGAACTGTGCGCCGTTGACATTTTGAGGAGACAGAATAAAAACTGCTGCCATTTACTTACTACTACTACTACAAAAAAAATGGCAGTGTTGTTATTCATAGCTGTAGTTCAGGTTTTGCCGCCAGGCTCTGAGCTTGCAGTCATACCAAAGTTGTCGTTATTGTGACGTGGAAAGAGCGCAATGAATCAATGCAAGCTTACCGGAACTTGCAAATCAAATGCAGCCGTTTGAAAATCAGACGATAATCATGAAGGGACTTGTCCGAGTTTTCAGGTGACTGCTTGACGCTCTCCGGAGGGGGGGGGGAACAACAGTGGCAACAAGGCGCTCTCTTGTGGACAAACTGCTCAATAACAACCACCATAAAACATATATTTGATTTCAAAATTATATGCTGGTCATCTCCAAGTACATTCTTCATTTTTATTTTACTGGGCAGTAATTACAAATGATGTGATTGGCTGAAAAGGACCCCCCCACACACTCCCCCCCTTTGGCCTTGAACTGCACTTTCACTTTCACAAGATGGTGCCAGAGGACAACGTTGCTGCAAGATTGAGTCCGGCGTGTTCCTTGAGCCTCCACAAATGCAGATTGATTTGCACTATTAACTTGGATACATTCAATTCTAATCATAATTTTTTTTTCCAGGAGACTCTCAGCACCGTTGCCCCGCTAAAGACTGTCACTAACTGTGTTGACTAGTAAGTCTTTATTTTTTTATTGATCATCCCCCCAAGACAGGACACAAGTTCAAACGTGCGCTTGTGTCTCATGTGTGAATTTGTTTTGTCAGTCAGGACATGCTGGATGCACTGGAAGCCATTCATGGAACTTTCCGGCAGATTCGCTCTCTGTCCCGACGGCAAAAAGATCACCTGAAGAGATTCCGCGGTGGGATGGAAACTGCAACTGGTACTTGTGCTATCTGCCGGAGAAATTGTTGGACTCTTGTGCGAGGCCCGAAGTAGAATATCCCAAATATTAAAAGCGTTCCTCTGAATTGTCCGCGGACCTCAAATTAGATTTTCGAAAGCTAAGATCGTAATGATGATCCGTTTGAATCTGGAGCGCAAAAGTATTTTGGGTGGGCCTACGCAAGGGCTCCTGCTCACTAAAATAACTTGAAACAGACAAAAGCAATAAGGATATTTTATTTTTGTCTTGCAACAGATTTAGTTAATCATTTAATCAACTCGACGCTCAGCATGTTTCAATAGGCGCCGTACGGCATTGAAAATGGGACTATCTCCATCTCATTGACAGAGATACCAAAGAGGTTGAAAAAGGAGTTGTTTCAAAATTCCAACGACATATTTCAGTGGATCTGGGCTTCATAATCGATTTCACAAAGCTTCACAAATGTTCAATATTTGCTTAGCTGCGACTTCCTCTTTGAGTATCTTTTGCGCTACGTCCAAATCTATTTCCTTCCTTTTAAAAAAAAATAAATAAATAAAAGTTTAATTTCCTCAAAAGCTGAGTTCAAGCATGTTCTGACACATTTCATTCCCTCTGATCTTTATTCCCCACCCTAAAATAACCCAACTCATTAACATTATACTTATTTCATGTTTACACCTCTTGTCAAAATTCGGGATCAGTTCTGCATCCTCCGTGTTCACTTGAAATGGCAAAAAAAAACAACGTCTTGGAAATCAAATGCTGGATGTGCTGTGCGACAGATCAGCAGTTCTCCATGCCCATCCAGTGCACAGACCGCGCGGCAGAACCCGAAGCACCCTTCTTCCTGGCGTCGAGGTCGACGCCGCACATCCCGCTGGTGCCCACCTTGCTGGCGTCGCGCGGCGCCAGCCCCGACGACAGGGACTTTATAGACTCGCTCTCCAAGTTCAGCGTGAAATTCCCGCCTCCCGTGGACAGCGAATACGACTTCCTGAACAGCGCTCCGGAGAGGCACGTTGCTCTGACCGTGCCCGTGAAGCGGCCCCTCAGCGGCATCCCCGCGGCGACCAGCAACGAGGAGCGGGAGGGGGAGCAGGAGGGGGAGGAGGAGGAGGAGGAGCCCTCGGAACTGTCCGTGGCTTTTGTCATCCCGACGTTCGCCTCCCACACGACGTCCTCCTCGCTCTCCCAGGAGGACGTTCGGGGCCCCCAGCAGGTGAGAAGCAGGTCTGAGAAAAGTAGTAGCAAATTATCGGTTTCCGCTTGCTCTTCGCTAATGGAAGAGCGCGAGTGTGTGAAAAGTCCAAAATAAGCGCCGCGGCGCAACTTGAAACACATTACCGCGTAATGGGTGCTAATCCCTTGTTTTTCTGTTTCAACTCTGCACTTGCGTCTGCTTGCGTGTTTGCCGGAAGGTGTGAGCCAGATGTAAGCGCCGCTCGCTGTCAGAATCTGATGAAACAACGCGTGATGATCACAACGCGTACCTTTTTTAATTGCGACACATATCCGCAACTGCCACGGCAGTTGTAAAAGTAACGTCGCCAGACGCACGAGGGTCGCGTTTTGACCCTCTTCGCGGCAGAGATGGCGACGGCTCAGCGCAGCGTCCCGGATAAATGTGCCTTCTGCCACGCCGTGGTTCCTCAGGAGCAAATGAACAGCCACCTCTACTCACATTTCTCGCCTTCGGATGAAACGCATCGCTGACTTTGCTCGCAAACCAGCCCAGAGACTTCATGTAAGCGTGGCCCGAGCGCCGCCCGCCGCAATGTACGTTCACTGTACGGGACACCGCAATGAGACTTGAATCCATCTTATTTAATATTGAAGAATTGAATGGTACAGTCCCCCGCCCCCCATATATTTGTTTTTTTTCTAATAGGCCTCCAGCTGAGACTTAATGATGATGCATAATGAGGAAATAAAGCCTGCGATGAATCTTTTCTTGTAAGGTGGACCGAGGTGTTCTCGTTTTGTTGATTCATTTTTGAAAGCCTCTTTGCATTCAAAACAATATTTTATATTAAAACACGGAACATTTGTGGCCCCTTATCCATCCTCGATTGGGCGTCCAACTCATTTTTACCACGAGCCACATGAAACCCTGTAAAGGTCGAATTGTATTTCATATTGCATCCTGAATACACAACAAATAGATAACTCGTTTCGAAAACAGTCCCCCGCCCCCCATATATTTGTTTTTTTTCTAATAGGCCTCCAGCTGAGACTTAATGATGATGCATAATGAGGAAATAAAGCCTGCGACGAATCTTTTCTTGTAAGGTGGACCGAGGTGTTCTCGTTTTGTTGATTTATTTTTGAAAGCCTCTTTGCATTGAAAACAGTATTTAAAATTAAAACACGGAAAATTTGTGGCACCTTATCCATCCTCGATTGGGCGTCCAACTCATTTTTACCACGAGCCACATGAAACCCTGTAAAGGTCGAATTGTATTTCATATTGCATCCTGAATACACAACAAATAGATAACTCGTTTCGAAATCGGAAGTCAAGGGTAAAAAAAAAAAAAAAAAAAGCGATTATAATTCAGGTTATTTTTACAAAATTGTTTTGGTTACCCAAAAAACGTTCACATTATTAAAAAGTAGTTGCACCCGAGAACATCCACAGATGTTCCAAAGAAACGTTGCTAACAAACGACATGCTAACAACACATGAAACCAACTTCATATCGTCACTTGTGTGGGATGGGCAGAAAAAAAATCCTTGACGGGTCTGTAGAATGCGTCACAATGATTGTTGCGCAATGGAGGCAAAATGGAATGCGTTTCAGTTTTGACGAGTTCACCATCGAGAAAGGAACACCGTGTCATCATCGATGGAAATTTGCGCGACCGCCATAAAAACAAAAAAACAAAATGGACACTAGCTTCGCTTTTTAACTCCGTTTTTGCCAAACGAAGCAACCGCTGACCCCCGAGTCTCAGTCAGCACTGTATGCAATGTTCCATATATCTTAATTAAACCGTATTTGAGCTAATCATTCAGACTTATTTCAAGAATAGCGGAAAGACTCTCCGCCCACAAACCTGTTGTTTAAATTAGCGCCGTAATTGTGGAGCAGCTGCTGGTCAATCACCGGGGCTGTTTTTTCTGAAACATTTCCAAGTTTGCCGCCATTTGAGAAGTTTACGCGCCATATGTTCATTAGACACGGGAATTGGTTTGAAGACGTAACGACGCACAATAATCAGGCGCAAACGCACCGTTCAATTAGCTCCATTACGTCCACATTTGCCAACCTCTGCTTGTGTGTTCTGCATATTTTTTTTTTTGGAATATTATTTCAGTAACGACGGAGCAGTGAACGCTACGTGTGGCTCTTGCTAATCATCTTTAGCCTTCTGCGCGATGATATGTTGACAGTATCTCTTTTCAAATAACTTCTGGTTGCCTAAATAAAGCTTCAATTAAGAAAAAATATAATAGTCAAGACAGAAAATGAGTCCAAAATATTATTTAAAAAAATCCCAATCCTTTTCCGCTACTCATGTGATTATGACATGTGTAACTCAAATGGGGGGGGGGAATCATTTAAGATTACGCACTCACATTCAAACACCACCACCAAACGTTCAGATGTTCTAGTAGGCTTTCTACAAGTCTGAAGGTTTTGTGCTGACACTGATTGATTAGAATGGTTAATAATTCCTTTGACCTTGACTAAAAACGGCTCTACAGCCACTACCAAGTCTTACTGCAGGTGCGGTATTGCTTTTGCTGATGACTAGTTGTTGAGTTTGCACCAAAGATACAATTTTTTTTTTTTTGGAGGGGGCGGGGAGCACAAAAAAAAAAAAAACCTTCGTTAAAAACGTCTGAAAAAACACACCTGAAATCCATGGTCCGGTCTGACGAAACCAAGGTGGAGTGAACTTTGAACCATTCCGAATATTAGTCAATGTTAACACGAAACCTTCTCATTTTTATCAGAAGTAAGAAAATGTCACCAAAAGCCCACTAGAACGTCTGAACTTCATTTTTGGCATGAATCAGAGGTACTTCAAATAGTTGATTGTCATATGCGACATGGTCATTCCTAACACGGCCTATCCCATTGTTGTATGGGGGTGTGCACATTTTTGCAAAGACATGATCTCAGTTTTTAATTTTTGTTTCCCCTCTCAAAAAGATTCAAAAACAAAATTCTATGTTGCTTTCCAGATTATAATACTGGAAAAAGTTTCTATAGTGTTCTCATTTGAACCGGGGTGTGTAGACTTCTTCCATCCACTGCGAGCTGATATTTATTTGCGCAGAGTCTTTAATTGCATTTCATAAATAGCTCTGGAAACGTAGAGCTGTCGTTCCCCCCCC